TATTTGTGAGCTTTTAATTTCAGAAGGAAAACACAGCTTTGTAATTGTAATGTAATGTGACTCAAACTTTATTTTCTTGTSTCCACTTCAACTCGACATATTTGTTTCTTCATACATGTCTTCAGACAGTGACTGTGATACATCGATACGTTGCTGACCTGAAGGGAGCGTTTGAGGCTTGTAAACAGATAAATAACATCAGTAGACATTTAAATATGAAACAATTATTTAGGTTTCTTATATTTTTTTTAGCTGAAGTTGTTACTGAATGCGTTTGGACAAACAACGGATCTAAACATTCCCACTAAAATGTTGATTACTTCATCGTTAAGTTGCCTGATTTCCAGTTACGGAGCTCAGAACAAAAAGCTGTTATTTCCCAAATTGACCAAAATACAAGATAAACGCAGCTGCTCCTTTCTTCTGAAGGTCAGCAGCTTATGACAACTTTCATTTCTCTCAATAGACCTGTTCATGAAAACATTCATGTTACCGAATGCTGCAGCCAGGAGAGGGGAAGACTACCAATTTAAAGGAAAAGTTTGGCCATTCTGACAGTGTTCTGTGTGAAATAATACCTTACCTGTTGGAGATAGCTCTTTGAACCAACTCMRTTTAAAGAAATAYAGTTTAACTGTGACAGGACTGATGAGCAAACGACTAGTCTGAATGCAGTTAAACAAAAGTGAATCACTGTTGTCTAAAGCATCTTTAATGTTTCTTGCAGTTTTATGAAAACAGTGTTTTATAAACCTTTACACCTCCATCAWTTTCACACTACACCCTTGTTTACAAGGAATTCTGTGGTTACTTACAAGCTTAATTAGCAGCAGCTAGCGCTTTCAACAAATCCGGGGGTCACTTCAGGAATTTCAAGACGATTTCTGCTGTAATAAGCGTGTAATGCAACACTGTGGTGTTAACATTTAAATAATGTAGTTTGCATGAGTCACTGTTAACTTTATCAAAGATTGTTTTAAGCTAGCAGCAAGCKAATGTGGTCTTAGCTGCGTTCAGACTAGCCATTAGCTCAGTGTCTGCAATCTGGAGCCACACCAGGCTCCGTGCAACTTTTACCAAAAAAACAAGATGGACATGAATATCTAAAGTTTGTTTAGAAACAGGAAAAACTAATTGTAGCTGATCAGTTGTCCAGTTTTCTGCTACACGTGAGCACAATTTCAGTAACAGAATGCTACTAAGACAAGAAACAAACATGTCAACACTTTATTTTACACCTTAATGGAGAGTTAAACCTTCCTTTGAAGAAAACAAACAGCAGTTTTAGGTTCTGCGATATTAGAATCAGGAGTTCTGTAAAAATATGACAAGTCATACTGAGAACTGAGAACTTTAAGTTTGTTTTCCAAAAAAATTTCAGAAATGAATGAATTTAGTCATTATTAGATTTATATGATTTACTGTCCTCATTTTGTTTTAACTTTAATCAAATAATTTACTGTTATGCCAACTGAAGCTTCATTTCAAAGCGAGTAACTTATTAATTTTCCAGAAATATAGTTTGGACTCACATAGGCCTCTTATAATTCAGTGGTGACATTTTATCAAAGGGGGTTTACACAAAATGCTTTTTCTTTTTCATACGAGTTTTGTCTTTTCCTTTGTGCTAAAATATAAAAATACAAATAAACGCCCAGTTTAATTTAGTTGTTTAATTTCAGAAAGTAACAAATGAGTTTATTAGATTCTATAACTTTGAACACATTTGATTTGTGGAGAACTGTAAAGGCTGCTGACCCCTGTGTTCAGTTCTGTCAGATTTAAAATCAAATTCTCCAAACTGAAGATGTTTAATGATATATCTATAATGGGTAAGATAACTTTTACACAGAACCCAAATTTCTTGGCCATACCATTCCTTCAACAGAAGTAAAATGCACTAAAGTAAGTTCAGTGACTGGTGAGGGTCAGACTTAACCACCCTGACAAAATAGGACCAAAACAAACAGGTCAGTCTGGTCATTTTCCCTTTTCCCATCAAACCACCAAACACTTGTCACAGTATAAGACACAGCTGGCTGCATGTAGTGGATGGACGGAGGACACCTGCAGAGAGAAGACGTCCTATCTCCCACTCTGCTCCACCTCTTGGCCTTCAGTCTGCCTCTCCTCCTCAGTCTCCACCTGCGTGTTCACCTGCTGTAACGTCTCCTGGGGATTCTGCAGGGTCACATCACTGGTGAAGGGGTAAAGTGTCTCAGGGGCTGGTGGAAAACTGGAAGGGTCGGTGGTCTCTRAGGTGCTTTCTTCTCTGGTTATCTCCTCGGGTGGTCCCATGGAGCTGGTTTCACTAACGGAGTCAGAGTTTCCCCCTGAGCGCCGAAACAACTTCTGACCTGTGGAACACAAAGACAATAATGCTGGTCAGACTGAGAACAGACAGGCAAGAAGTGTCCTACTGCTGCTCAGTCGAGGAGCTTCTGGTTTACTGCCCAGTTTCTGGTTCTCCAGGACAGTGGCACYGCGAGCAGACAATTCAGCATCCAAGATGGTGAATGCAAAAACCTTAGTTTAGACCAAAGATGAGGATGGTTTGCTCCATTAGTTGAAAAGTGTGAGTAGCACAAACAGCATTGTGCTACCCGTCATTRTTACTGTTGYCCATCTRTTCGTCCAAGTGYAAAAAAACAAAAACAACAAAAAAAAAACTTGACTGCAGCCATTTAAAGCACACGTGCAGAATTCCACACACACAATGCTGAACTTTCCCAGACTGGGATTCAAAACTATTTGTGCCAGAGTGAACATTTATTGTGTACTTGAATGGCCAATATGCTGCAGAAATGCTAAGTTCTCATTTAAACAACATTGTTTTTAAACAGGGCCATGGTTTCATGGGTAATAATCCAATGAAAATTTTGAATTTCTTGGTGTGGTTTAAAAAATTAAGACTTATTAAACCTTTCCATATTGATAACCACAACAAGTTTTTCTCTAAGATCATTGATAATGTCTTCCCTCCTTGTTATTGTGTCAACAAAATCAGACAAAATGTAAGTTCAGGGGTGGAGGGTGTAAATTTAGAAAGACATAAACCAGGGGTCTGAAATCTGCGGCTCTAGGGCCACATGTGGCCCTTTGGCCCTTCTGCAGTGGCTCTTCAAAAATGTGACCAAACAGAATATATATTTTTTGTTACAATACAAAAGATAAGACAGTCACTATTATACATTCTGTTGGAGAAGTCCTGTATATTTATGCTTGCTCACAAACGCACGCAGACAGGTGTTCAGATCCGAGGGGTTCTGAATGATCACCAYGTATACTGTAGGTGGGTGTTTGTTTATCTGTCTAAATGTATATATGTATGCTTTTGATAAGTTTTGTTACCTTAATTCTTTGCAGGTGTGCAGACAGATGTTGGATGTATTGTATTGTTTTCTTGACGTATATCTCACATATCAATTCTTTCTTTCACTTTTTTCCCATTACATTGTAACTTTTCTTTCCTTTCCTTCTTTTCCCCCATTTCTTTCTTCTTCTTTCTTGTCTAACTATAAAAAAGCCACTGATGATGAAGAAGCTAAGATACTAATATTCAATACTATATTATTCAATATATTTTTAGTTTTATAATGTCACTGGCCAAAAAGGTTCCTGAAAAGGCCTCGAAAAGGCCCACGAACCACCAGTTGGTAATCACAGTTGTAGCTTGTTTTGCGGCTCTGAACACATTTTATTGGTGAGCCAAGTAGCAGAAATGGCTCTTTTGATCGTAAAGGTTGCAGACCCCTGGCATTAACATACAGTTTTGATCATATAAATGATGGATATACTTTGTTTTTATTGCATATACAGCGGGTAAAATAAGTATTGAACACGTCACCATTTTTCTCAGTAAATATATTACTAGAGGTGCTAATGACATGAAATTTTCACCAGATGTTGGTAACAACCCAAGTGATCCATACATACAAAGAAATCAAACCATAAATGTCCAGAAATGAAGTTATTTGTAATAATGTGGAATGGCACAGGGAAAAAGTATTGAACACATGAAGAAAGGGAGGTGTAAAAAGGCATGGAAAGCCAAGACACCAGCTGAACTCTCTCAGTAATTAGAAAGCAAGCCTGCCCCTTGTCAGTGCAAGTTAATATCAGCTGGTTCAGTCCCAAATGATGGCCAAGGTATCACACAAGAACCATCTGATGATGGGTAAAAGTAAAGAGCTCTCTCAAGACCTTCACAACCTTATTGTTGCAAAGCATAATGATGGCATCGGTTACAGAAGAATGTCTAAACTTCTGAAGGTTCCAGTGAGCACTGTTGGGGCCATAATTCAGAAGTGGAAAGAACATYATTTCACCATAAACCGACCACGACCAGGTGCTCCTCACAAGATTTCTGACAGAGGAGTGAAAAGAATTATCAGAAGAGTTGTCCAAGAGCCAAGGACCACTTGTGGAGAGCTTCATAAAGACCTGGAATTAGCAGGTACGTTTGTTTCAAAGAAAACAATAAGTAATGCACTGAACCACCATGGCCTGTATGCACGCTCACCACGCAAGACTCCACTGCTGAAGAAACAGCATGTTGAAGCTCCTTTAAAGTTTGCTGCACAACATTTAAACAAGCCTGTGTAATACTGGGAGWATATAGTCTGGTCAGATGAGACCAACATTGAACTGTTTGGATGCCAGAATACACATCATGTTTGGAGGTCAAATGGCACTGCACATCAGCCCMAAAACACCATACCAACAGTGAAGTTTGGAGGTGGGAACATCATGGTGTGGGGCTGTTTTTCAGCAYATGGTACTGGCAAACTTCAAATAATTGAAGGAAGGATGAGTGGAAAAATGTACAGAGACATTCTTGATAAAAATCTGCTTCCATCTACCAGGATGATGAAGATGAAACGTGGCTGGACATTTCAGCAAGACAATGACCCCAAACACAAAGCCAAGGAAACTCTCAGTTGGTTTCAGAGAAAGAAACTAAAGCTGCTGGAATGGCCCAGCCAATCACCTGACCTGAATCCAACAGAAAATCTATGGAAAGAACTAAAGATCAGAGTTCATAGAAGAGGTCCATGAAACCTTCAAGATTTGAAGACTGTTTGTGGAAGAATGGGCCAAAATCACACCTGAGCAATGCATGCCACTAGTTTCTCCATACAGGAGGCGTCTTGAAGCTGTCATTGACAACAAAGGCTTTTGTACAAAGTATTAGATAAATTTCAGTAAGTGTGTTCAATACTTTTTCCCTGTGCCATTCCACATTATTACAAATAACTTCATTTCTGGACATTTATGGTTTGATTTCTTTGTATGTATGGATCACTTGGGTTGTTACCAACATCTGGTGAAAATTTCATGTCATTAGCACCTCTAGTAATATATTTACTGAGAAAAATGGTGACGTGTTCAATACTTATTTTACCCGCTGTAGATTAAAAGTAGAATCCTACGTTGAACTCACTATATTTGGGCCAGGTTTGGAAAATGATTTGACACAGTGTACCCTCTGTACACTGTGTTACTCACATTTTGGAGTTGCCCCCTCCATGAATAGGTTGTGGTCTAAAATACTTTCTTACATCATCTAATATTACTGGAGAAGATATTTCTCCTAAAGTTTTAACCCTGTGATAAAAAGAAAAAAAACACACAACCCTGTAATGTACAGTTTTTTTGTTTGTTTGTTTTCAGTTGAAGATTTATTTATTATTTTTTGTAAGATACTAAAGCACAACGTGATGGCTCACCTGGCACTTTTTTAGATGAGACAGTGGGGGTGTCCTGCAAGGATGCTCTTCCTGCTTGGGCCTTGGTGGAGTATGTCACATCTGTGGAATCCAGAGAGCCTAAAGAGACAGCCATACATGTTACTTGAATGTTACACGGACAACTAAAGACATACTTTGCTTAAGAACCTCACAATAATTCACAGCTGTGAAGGAAGAAACAAAAATACAGCATCCTTCATATACATGAATTTCTTAATAAATGACTTGTTCAGCCATTTTTAAGCAGTGTTTGGTGTAAGGGTTTTGAACAGTAAATATCTTGTTGCAAATAGCTCTTTGGATGACTAAAGTTTGGAGAAATACTATTTAAATGTGACAGGACTGATAAGCTGATAAACTGTTAGTCTGAATGCAGGAAAGAGCAAAGCAGATTAGCTGCTATCAGTTCTAACTTGAAAACTTATAGCGGTTCATGTGAATGCTGTTTTATAAAGCTTATATACCACTGTCAGTTTTGCATAACAGTTATTTACATAAAACTCGGGGGATATATACAAGTACAAACAGGCACGTAGCTGAGGTCTCTTCCTGCAAGGATTATAGTATTATTTCTGGCAAAATAAAAGCACAATCTAAAAGTGACTGTGGTGTTCACATACACTGCAATAAAACTGTAAAGGTAGACATTTTTAGACAATAAAATCTACTTTGGATGTAGACACAATCAGATTAGTCATTTTTAGTTCAATAATATAGTCCTGGTTTACCCACTTTGAAACTTTCAAGACTGGAGTTGTTTTGAGAAAGAAAAAATATTTTTATAGTGGTCTATTTGAACTGTATGTAGTGAAATTTTACGCCACCATCACTTCATGACACCCTTATTTCAACAAATACTACTGTGGTTAAAACCAACAAAAATACTTTTACACACCTACTACCTGAGAGGAGTGTAGGAGAAACACAGTAAATGTAAGCTTGAAGAAATTTATGGTCAGGCAAACAATTTTAAAATAATTGGCTTGGTGTCTGACCCAGTGATAACCTGTGGAAGGGCCAGCCCCTGCACCATCTCTGTTAACAAGATGAGAATTTGTGCTGCTATTTTGGAAAGAACCAAGTGCAGCATTGTGAGCATCTTTAGTGTCAGAAGAGAAGCAGACCAATAATACTGGAGAAAAAATTCAGCAGAGTCCAACGTTTTGCCAATAATTGGTCTTAATGGTCAGAACCTGCACTTCAAACAGTGTTGCACTACATTTCATCTGTGAATAATTTGCCAAGTTTGCTCATGAATCATTGAAAACATGATCTCTTCATTTTGTGTCCGACTTGTCCATTACAGTGTTTATAACTATACATACACTACTAAATGTTCTACATGAAGATTCAGTGAAGACAACTCAAACTACCTAAATGAGGTGCATGCTGAGTGTGAAAGATTGAGTAAGATTACAGGAAGAATCATGAAGGCTACAACAGCAGACAGTGCAGTACCTGCTGCCAGGTTGAAGGTCCTCCCCTTTATGGAGCTTTGGACTGGAGAAAACCAGTTCAACACGGAGCCAACCAGAGGAAGCTGTCTCAGCATTCCCTACAACACATGGATTCCTATTTAATACTCACAACTTAATGAAACAAGCAGGCAAACAGCAGCTGGGACACACACACACACACACACACACACACACACCTCCTCTAAGAGTTTCTCCTCATTGGCCTTCTGCAGCTGCAGCTCTGCATCCAGGATGCCTTTTCTCACCCGCTCCGTCATGTTCTCCAACAGCTGCAGAGGGCAGAATCACAGCTGTTCAGTGTTGTGATGCAGAACAACAACAAAAGCTGGACCCAAACATACAGGAGGAAATTAGCCTCTTTCATCTCATTAATGTCTGTTCTTTCACAAGCTTACTGAAGGCAGTAAGATTTTCCACCTGGCTCTGATAGACAGTTTCTGACAGGGAGCGGTGTATTTCTGTAAATGACAGTAGGACCACTGGGAGGAGCCAGAGAAGCATTGATGTTTGTCCACAGATCATCTGTCTCACATTCAGACTTATGCCCCTTTTCCACTAGTGCCACTTAGTGCAGTGTCTGTATGGTTCAGTACGGTTCCAAGCCATTTCCATAAGGTCAGATTCATGCAACCAGCCCTTTTTTTAGTAAGTACCTACTAGGCCTGTCGCGATAGTCAATAAATCAATGAATTGCACGATAATTTTTTTGAGGTCAGTAAAAAAAATCAGGTCGATAAGTTTCATTTTCCTACTTGTTTGTTTACTTCRTCTCTCTCCCTCTCTGTGCTCCGCTACACAGGAGCTCAGCTGACTCCTCCCCTCTTGTTTTCTTAGTGTCGGGAGGAGTCAACTCTCGCTTTAGCATGAGAGCTCGTAGCAATAACAAACTAAAGAAACGTTTCAAAGCAGAACGTGGCTGCTGCAGTGTCGGCGCACTTGCAGAGCCTGAATTTTGCTGTGGGGAGACACAGAGAGACAGACAGAGAGAGAGAGAGAGAGAGAGAGAGAGAGAGAGAGAGACAGAGAGAGACAGAGACAGAGAGACAGAGACACACAGAGAGAGAGAGAGACAGAGACACAGAGAGAGAGAGAGAGAGAGAGAGAGAG